GTTCCTGGTGGTGGTGCTGGGCCAGAGGTTCCTGGTGGTGGTGCTGGGCCAGAGGTTCCTGGTGGTGGTGCTGGTCCAGATGTACCTGGTGGTGGTGCTGGGCCAGAGGTTCCTGGTGGTGGTGCTGGGCCAGATGTTCCTGGTGGTGGTGCTGGGCCAGATGTACCTGGTGGTGGTGCTGGGCCAGAGGTTCCTGGTGGTGGTGCTGGACCAGAGGTTCCTGGTGGTGGTGCTGGGCCTGGATATTCAAATATCAGTTTTTAAATTATAATTTTAGAACTCCTCTTTTTGTGTAATGCATACAAGTTAAATATTATATCGCTTGTTACATGAAATGTTTATTCATTACATCAAAGTTGTCAATTTTTTATGTTAAAAGAAATGAAATCTATGTTTAAAAATGAAGTAAAAATAGAAATATATACCTGAAGTTCCTGGTGGTGGTGCTGGGCCAGAGGTTCCTGGTGGTGGTGCTGGGCCAGATGTACCTGGTGGTGGTGCTGGGCCTGAGGTTCCTGGTGGTGGTGCTGGTCCTGGTTAATCGAGTCACAGATTTTATTTTTTCCGGTTTTGAAAGCTAATCTAAACGGGGTTTTTTCATATCTGTGCTGGTATATGAAGTTTTATGTTAAATATAAATCTTCTAACTCTATGTTACCTTAAATTTAATAGTTATCCATCAAAATGCTTTAAAGAGTATGTTAAGTTGACGTTACTGTATATTAGTTGCCCTATATGGCTATTTGACCTAATTCCAGGGTCCATGATTGATAGCACATTATTTGTGTGCTTTTATTCACAATGTATGAACATAATTATTTTTTTTTAATACCTGAAGTTCCTGGAGGTGGTGCTGGGCCAGATGTTCCTGGTGGTGGTGCTGGGCCAGAGGTTCCTGGTGGTGGTGCTGGGCCAGAGGTTCCTGGTGGTGGTGCTGGACCGGTTGTAGGTGTCATTCCCTCTGTAATTATTGAAAAGTTATTTTTAAACCTGTACTCACAAAGTATTGCATATTTTTAGTGTTTTCGTCTCAAATGATGCTATTTCCAACAGTATTTATTATTGGTGGTACTGTATTTGGTACAGAAAAGATTAGACAATATTTTGAACAATATCTCGAAGGGAATAAGAATGGACTTACATTTTAATTTTTTATAAAGTGTATGACCTAATTTTGTAGATTCACGGATGAAGTTGTACGCCAATGACATACTTTTAACACACACACTGCCAATATTGCTAAGTAAACTAATTCAGAGCTTATTCAAGAACCAGCATATCATGAAAGGCTGTTAACGTACTTAAGTATTACGTGCATTTGTCCCTATAATAATATTTTCATTAGTTTTTAAAGCATGCAGCAAGTACAGAGCACAACAGTTGGCTAAAAGAAAGAAATCTAGAAGAGAGTCAAAACGACAAAAGTTTGATTCAAAAAGCCACGAAAAGAGCAAAGGAAATCGGTAGAGCTGAATTAGAGTTAAACTGAGAAACTGACACCCAGTTTTAAAAATGCAGTTTGTGGTGATTCTGTATGAATACCTCACATTTTGCTTAGGACAGGTTCATTCAAGGGTCACTAGTGAGACTGAAAAAAAGTTCAAGAAGGAGACACCTCTTATGAAGTGAACCCCCACCCCCAACCCACCGACCCAAATCATTTGACACATATATATATATATATATATATATATATATATATATATAGAGAGAGAGAGAGAGAGAGAGAGAGAGAGAGAGAGAGAGAGAGAGAGAAGAGAGAGATATATATATATATATATATATATATATATATATATATATATATATATATATATATATAGAGAGAGAGAGAGAGAGAGAGAGAGAGAGAGAGTCTCAGAGAGAGAGAGAGTCTCAGAGAGAGAGAGAGTCTCAGAGAGAGAGAGAGAGAGAGAGAGAGAGAGAGAGAGAGAGAGAGAGAGAGAGAGAGAGAGAGAGAGAGAGAGAGGGGGGGGGGGAGAGAGAGGGAGAGAAAGAGTTGCAAAGGGG